CCCGGGTGGAAGGATCTACACTTTTGACTGCATCAGTTTTCTAAGTTTTTTCTCAACTTATAATGCAGATAGAGTGCATGCGAGTCTAAGTCCCAAGTAGGGTTTCAAGTGTGTCTATATGGTAGTTTCAGTGTTCTGAAACTCCAGTTAAAGTACAGAAAAACATGCTTAAACTGCATTATAAGTACGAAAAACTATAGTTTAACTGTACGAAAAGTACCACTTTTTTCGGACAAACTACAGTTTTCCATAGTTCGTTTCAGAATTCTGCCAGGTTTCTGCAACTTAAATTACAGTTTTACTGTAGTTAAATGTTAGTTTTGCTGTGTCCTATAAGTTTAGTTCTTGTTTTCAAATTTGAAAATTTTTATGCCCCACGTTGCCCTAATTTACTTTGGTTCCGCTTCTCCCTTTGGAATTACCAATTTTACCCTCGATGTAACTTACTTGGATGATGAAAGTTGACGGCGACCGATGGGATTTGAACCCCGAACCTTCCAATTCGGAGACGAGGTCTGTACCCCTGGGCTATGGCGCCACGCTACAGGAAAGTGTGCCGTTACCCGATGTCCCTCAGAGCCTAGCGAACCCCTCTATTGCAGTCCGAACTGTAGTTTGACTACAGTTCAAGCATAGTTTAACTAAAGTGTCTTCGTTTTGAACTGCCAATCTTGCAAGAAATACACTGGAAAAACTAATGTTACCATGGTAACGTTTCATCATGTGACCAAGACCGGTAACGTTTCCTGATGCGACCTACCCCATGCAAAAGGATAGGGCCAGCACAAACTGGTTGCATCACCAAACGTTACCTGGTTTGGTCGCGTCAAGAAACGTTACCTCGGTAACGTTAGTTTTTCCAGTGATGTGTCCCGACTACTGACAATTCGGTGATTATTGAAGGTGTTTGGTAAGTAAACTATATTGGTGTTTGTTGTGGAGCTTTACGTATTCATTTCAAGTCATCAAACGTTGGCCTTAATGTTGACGGAGCGTGAGTGAAAGTTTAACGAAAAAACCTTAAATTATTTGAAACTGAAACTACGCCAATGCTACAATTGCAATATGTATTAAGTTTTGTGTAATTTACGTCACACTATCAGAGGTGTGAAACACGTTGTGTAGACGTACAACAAACTGTAATGCTATATAATCATAGATCAAAAATATTCACAAGTCTCATGATTTGTTTAATCAAAATTATATCTCTGATTACTCAAAATATACAGAAACTGTATAAAAATTGGTATTCCCAATACAGATTGGTACTATTGATGTTATCTGCTAGTTCAACTATGGGTATTCTGCATAATTAATGGTGTGAAAAGATTAAATTCTTACTCTTTATTATCATCTTGTCAGAATTACAGTTAATGTACTGGTTGCAATGCAGATGCAAATACAACTTTCAGGACAACTTCATACTAATGTCGGAAACTCGATAGTAAATTGGTCTTAAAACTGTCTTTAAACTACAGTGCGAAACTAGTGTGGAAAACTACAGAAAAAGTAGCATAATGAAATATCTGAAAACTCAATTGCCAAACTAATGTATCAACTATACTCATTTCTCTTTTTTTTCTCCTCTGCAACTGCAGTTTCAAGACTGCAGTTTGAACGCTATAGTCCAAACTACACTTTAACTAAAGATCCTTCCACCCGGGGTATACGAGATGTATAGTACTACCAGCCAAATGGATGTGTTACGTAAAATAAAACAAAACGCACAAAGTACACGACTTTAAAAAAAACATGCGACCGTTTTTGTTATGCGTCGCTTTGTTTTCATTCATTCATTTTGGCTGGTATATTGTGGTTGGAGCGAGGGGTACAAAACAAAATGTCAGTGTAAGAAGACCCTACAAAAAATCGTAAAAAATCGGAAAAATCAAGGGAAATTTATTCCTAAAAAAAATCAAACAAACCTTGCACCGTTTTAAAAAAAATCTCTAAAATTAAATAACTTTTTTGTGAAGCACTAACATTGCTATTTAATTTAATAACAAAAATGTTTTGGAAAGTTACAACAGTTATGTTATGAAAATTCATTTGTAAATATAAATAGGAAAAAAATATCAAGGCGGGTGCACGTTTGAATTTACAGGGAAGTGCCCCTCGGGACGCATACGGTGCACACGCACACACCGCACACCGCACCGCCGGCGAAATATTTCTTCTTCCGGCCTCTTCTGTCCATGTGGGATCGTATATCCTCTGTCCCGTCAGTCGAGACGGCGGGGTCACAGACTCTCTTTCCTTCGAGATGAGCGACCCCCTGCAATGGTCCGCGCGCAGCCCGGGCCATGCCGTGCGCTGGATAATTAGCGACACAAACAAGCTCAATTGCTGGCCGTGTGCGGGCTGCCGGGGCGGCCGGGGGCCTAACTTGATCCTCTCTGGGTCGGGCAGCTCAATCCCTCAGCCACCGGTGGTTCCGCCAATGACTCGCAGATGCAATAAACCAGTAGTGGCTGCCTCATTGATGGACAACGTACCGATTGAATCGAGAATCGAGATTATGTCGTCGACGGCGGAAAAGCTTTGTAGCAGATGATACATTTGAAACATTTTACAAAACTGAAACTGATAAAGAAACAACATCACAAATAAATGTGTCCGATTGCTTGCACTGACTTGAATCGCGCAGCGTGCAGAGAGGTAGACGGGACGTCACCATCAATAAAACTGGAAGGAGCTCCTAGACCTCATCCACCTCCACGCTGTCGCACACGTCGCAGAGCACCTCGGCCGAGGGCAGCAACCGCCGCACCTCGGCGAGCTGCTCGCCGCAGGCGGCCGTCTCGTGGCTGAATTTGTGAGCCCTCACCAGCACGAGCCTCCTGAGCGCCCGCAGCCCGCACTGCTCCAGCAGCGAGTGCAGGTCCCCGCAGCTGCGTGGCCACGCCAGGCTACCCGCCGTGCCCACCCACAGCTGCAGCTCCTCCAGTGCGCGGCCGTGCGCCAGCAGCAGGGACTGCGTCGTGGCGCGGGGGAGGCGGGACACCGTGAGGCACTGCAGGCCGGCGTGTCCCGGCGGGAGCGCGGGCAGCACGACGGGCGGCGCGTCCAGGTCGGCGTCGGCGCCCATCATCACGTGCAGCCTCCTCAGGCGCGGCATGGCGTGCACCGCCAGCAGGTGGGCCTCCTGGGGGTGGCCCACACTCAGCCGCTCCACCGTGGGCGCGGCGCGCTGCAGCAGCTCGAGGCTCCAGGCGGGGTCCTTGTGACAGGACACTTTGACCAGCCGAGTAACCTGCGGCAGAACGGCGGACTCAGAAAAATTCCTGAAAATTTCCCGAAAATAACGGAAAACTTTCCCAAATCTGTGAAATTGTCAATTTTCCCCCCGGAAAACTTTCAATTTTTTCCTGAAATTTTCCGGAAATTGTCCAGAAACTTTCCAGGGCTTTGAACCCTACCCACCGCAGCACCCTCGCACTCACCCCTGGCGCCTCTGCGAGGACAGTCGCCTTCTCATTGGGAGCGGTCCGGCTGACAAACTCCACATCCATATCTCGAGG